ATATTGTAATTTTTTGACCGACTGGCTGACTGGTTGATTATTTTAAATAAAATGTTTACAGTTAAACATTTCTGTGATGCTTAACTTTAAAGTAAATATTACTATAATCATCATTGAGAATAATTAGAATTGCAAAAAAACAAAAATAAAAAAACTAAACCTTATAGTCCAGTATAACAGAATTGGCAGGGACATTGATTTAAATAATGTAAAAATGCAGAAAATATGTGCCTTTTTATGCAAAATGTAGACTTATTAGGAGCAATTTACCCCATTAGATGACAAAATACAATTGTATATGATTTATTGGTGCATGCAGGGACTGTATAATGTCAATTGTGTTGTCAGGTCAGGGTTAATCAGACTTTGAGTTGGAGTGGCAGGTTTGCTGCTGTCAGTTTGAGCTCTGAGTAATGTGAGATTCCTGTTTATGATAAGTTCAGACCGTACACATGAGATTCATGCCTCTTTCTCTGATTCCCTCACTTTCTGTTGCCTGAAAAAGTTGTGTAGAGTGTAATATGATCAGACTCGAGATTTTGCCCCTGACTGTGGACATGAAAGCCCATCCAAAATACACACAGCAGCTGATTATGTTTTCATGCCTGCGGGATATTTGAATTAAGTAGTTAACGACCCTGAATGAACCTAATGAGAAAACCGACTAGTGTGTCTGATTCATGCAGCTAAGGATATAAGTCACAGGAAATATGTCATTTTGCACACACACATCTCATGATGTCTTGGATCTCTTGAGGTCTGGCGACTCTTTTTGTTTGTTTTTAACTCTTGTCTCAGTGAATCATGTGTGTTGGATCAAGAGAGATGCCAAACTTGGAAAAATGCACACATGCGATCACATGTCTACTCACACACCCGTCAGACTCTTTGTCCTCATTCCACAAAACCCAAACGCTTCCAAGGTGGAGTGTGCACGTGTAACACTGTGTGTGTGTGTGTGTGTGTGTGTGTGTGTGTGAGAGTGTTTTCCTCATTCAGATACCTGCAGATTATGATTTTTCTTTCTGAAAATAGCCAGGAAAGTCCCAACAGGGTGCGGAGGCAGGAAATCAGGCTGACCGTGCACTTTGCCAGCATGATATCTTTCCATGTTGTTGAAACATGTTGTTAAAACAGAAGCCAGATGTTGCGTAACCATCCACCCCCAGACTCCCTTATTTATATAAGCAATCACTTGGAAAGTGTTTTTTTATGAAGTAATCTTCCTTACAGCTCAGAATCAGAGCATAGTGGGGGAAATTCAGTTTTGAGATTTAATAAGTGAATCACACGAAGATGTCCAGATTATAGTTAACTGCAGTATGTGATTGTGTGTATATGTTTGTGTGTGGGGTGTCCACATGAAATTAAATGTACAAAACTGATTTAATATACATAGAAAGCATATTAAATGCAAGTAAAGTGTGTACTTTAATGTTTCAGATAACTTTTGAGATTATTATGTTCCTTCGTCGTTCAGCATGACAGATATATTTATGTAAAAATGAAACCGCATACATATTCTGACCTGTACTTATTAAAATATATAAAAGAATAAGTGATCATACTACATTTTATTATTAAAACTTCTTGCTGGCAAATGGGTAAAACCTAGTGGTTTGAAGGATTGTAGCAAGGATTGGTAAAGATTTAAAATGACAATTAATTATTATTTAGATTTATATGCTTAAAGAGAGTCTTTTAATTACATCTAATGATTCTTGTTTTAAATACAACTGACAGCATTTTTTTGGTACATAAACTATTGTGAAATTTAAAAACATTTTAGTGTGTGTCTTCTGTAAATCATGATAAAAATGTGTAATAGTCATAATTTTTTGCTCAAAATAAATCAATAATATAAAAAATTAAATAGGTCACATTCTAATGTATAGAAAAACTAAATTTAAAGCTGTAAGGCAAGGCAAGGCAAGGCAAGTTTATTTGTATAGCACATTTCATACACAATGGTAATTCAAAGTGCTTTACATAAAAGAAAAGAAAAAAAAATAATCACAACAATAAAACAAGGAATTTAAAAACATTGAAAATGATTAAAACAATTGATTTAAGAAGTTTAAAATGAATTTAAGAAAACGTCGCATGCGATTTATCGTGCAGCCCTAATATATATATATAAACATTTTATTTATTTTATATATTTATATCTTTTATTTTACCCTTTACCGTTTGAAATGTTTTCCATTGTTGCATTATTTTCTTCCAAATTTGCATTGCCCTAATCGTATCCGGTAGTTTAAATTTTTTTTTTTTACTTTTCATATACTTTTTTATTTTCATTTTTATTTAATTTTTTGCAATGTGGTCATTAAAAAAAAAATCTTAATTTTCAAAATGTGACTTTTATTAATTTCTTGTGATGTAGTGGTGATATAGGACCCAGAAACTGTCTTCACAGGTTTCTATTTTTTATTATGAATGCAGTCTGATTCATGTGAACATGAGCTGATGATGTCAAAATGATGGATGTGTGTTTGTGTCTTGAATCAATAGCTGCTTCTTTGTATATTGAGCCTATGGACTTCGAACACCTCTGTAGATTATGCGGCCCTCTCAATAACATGCTTCGAATTGACTAAGCCGCTGACAGGAACGGTCATATGTGACCCTGGACCACAAAACCAGTCATAAGGGTCAATTTTTCGAAATGTATTTACAAAATATCTTCATGGAACATGATCTTTACTTAATATCCTAATGATTTTTGTCATAAAAGAAAAATCTATAATTTTGACCCATACAATGTATTTTTGGCTATTGCTACAAATATACCCCAGCGACTTAAGACTGGTTTTGTGGTCCAGGGTCACAAATGTATAACAAGCTGGCATTATCTTGTATGTCTGAGTGCTGCGAGTGTGTGTGACAGAGATTGTCTTTATGTTTGATCCTAGTAAAAGGATTTTCAAAGTCATGGCTTTAAGTGTGACCTAAAATACCCTCAGTATCACTAACCAGCAGCCCTTTCACGGCACAGGAGGGCTGTAGATGTGACTAATTAGTCTAAGGTGGCACAGGGGGCACATGCACACACACATACACACAAAGGTAAGCCTGTTAGTCACATAGGCGATTATGCAACTGAGCCAGGAATACAGCCGTGCCTGATGTCCTCTTGTGGCCCATCTTAAGCATGTTTATGTATGTGACAAAGTGTGTTTGTGTGAACTATTTGGCCAAATTGTACTTACTTGTGTGTGTGTGTGTAATTGTATAGATGTGTGTACAAGTGTGTCCTTTGAGTGAATGAACTCTGTGACTTTGGTTACATTCAAGCCACAAGTTGAAGGAGGCCCAAATCAGATCCTCATGAAAGGACAGTCCTTCACATGTGACACAGTGCTGGATGACAGTGTGAACTGCAAAAATCATATTTTCAGTTTCATATGTCAATCTGATATGAATTTGACTAAATTTAACTTTTAAGCATAAAACTAGGCTCTGGAATAAAAAAAAAATAGAATTTGTTTTTTATTGATAGCCTCTAGGCTTTTAAAGACTTTTAAAGCATTTTTCTTATAAATATATGTATATTCAATACCGTTAATAAATTTGGTAAGTCAGCAAGACTTTTCTCTCTTATGATCACTCAGGCTGCATTTATTTGATCAAAAATGCAGTAAAAGCTGTAATACTGTGAAATATTATTCCAATTTAAAATGACTGTTCTCTGTTTTAATAAATGTTACAATGTAATTTATTCCTGTGATCAAAGCTGAATTTTCAGCATCATTACTCTAGTCTTCAGTGTCACATGATCCTTCAGAAATCATTCCAATATGCTGTTCTGCTGCTTAATATTTCTGTGGAAAATGTAATGCATTTTCAGGATTCTTTAAATAGAATATTTAAAAGAACAACATTATTTGAAATGAAAAAAAAATATTTTTTTCTGTCACTTTTGATCAGTGTAATGCACCCTTGCTGAATAAAAGTATTAATTATGCTCAAAAAAAGAAAAAAAATTGTACTGAGTACTGACCCAAAACTTTTAGAGTTGACCGCATGTTTTAGAGGTGACACTCTCTCTCACACATGCACCAAAAAAAAACAAAAAGGCAAAATCATGTCCTGGGTGGAGTATTTCTTTACGTCAGTAATGTTCTTTGTACCATTATTAAATTTGTTTTAATTGCTTCCTCTCATGCAATTTGTCACCATCCTCTACTGAGTATAAACTTGACTTATTGCCACAGTGTTTTACACATGCAGCTCAGTTTAGATGCATCGCCTGTTTAGACCAGTGCAGCATTTAAAATATCATGTTAACAGCCTTGTGAAAAACATATTGGATTGCACGGTGGAATGCAGTGTGAACGTCGCCTTAGTGTGCAAGAGTAATGTGAACAGGTGCATTGTGCTTTTGGCGATTTAGTAAAGCAAGAGTGAATTAACAATCTGGCCTGACAGGGCTTGCTCGTAGGGGTGTGTTTATACACCACACACACTAAGAACAATAGAGGCTTTGATAGCCATAAGGTCTGTGTGTGTGTGTGTGTGTGTGTGTAACTGCCATAGCTTCCCGCAAGCGCTGCTGGAGTCAGCGGCAGGGAAAGTTCATTTTTGGATTGAGCAATACAACCAGAACAACTTAAGTCTGCGAATACACAAGCCTTAAAGCAAATTACTTAAACTTACTATGTCAGAAACACCTGAACATATCTGATACAATTGCAAAAGAGCTCAATTACATCTGACTTAATAAATATTATGTTCCATAACTTAGTTGCGGTGTCTGGTTAGTGAGTTTGTGGCACAGATGTTTCTTTGACATCCTCAATAGAGCCACTGTTTGGCCTTAAATGTTGGATTCAACACCACATGAGTTTACAGGGGTCACAATGACCTGAAGGCTCCCCACCCCCCATATACAGTGCTGCTTGAAAGTTTGTGAACCCTTCAGGATTTTCTATATTTCTGCGTAAATGTGTCCCAAAACATCATCAGATATTCACACAAGTCCTGAAAGTTGACAAAGAGAATCCAATCAAACAAATGAGACAGAAATATATACTTTGTCATCTATTTATTGTGGAAAATGATCCAATATTAAATATCTGTGAGTGGCAAAAGTATGTGAAACTCTAGGATCAGCTGTTAATTTGAAGGTGAAGTTAGAGTCCATCTGTTCATTGGTGTTTTCAACCAGTGGGATGACTATCAGGTGTCAGTGCCTGCTCTGTTTTATTTAAAGAACCGGGATCTTTCAAAATCTGATCATGTTTGTGGAAGCGAATTATGGCATGAGCAAAGGAGATCTCTGAGGACCTCAGAAAAAGAGTTGTTGTTGCTCATCAGGCTGGAAAAGTTTGCAAAGCCATCTCTAAAGAGTTTGGACTCCACAATCCACAGTCAAATTCAAGACCATTGTTACCCTCCACATGAGTGGTTGACCAACAAAGATCACTCCAAAAGCAAGACGTGTAATAGTCTGTGAGGTTGCAAAGAACCCCAACTAAAGGCCTTTCTCACATTGGCTAATGTTAAAGTTCATGATTCCACCATCAGGAGAGCACTGAGCAACCGTGGTGTGCATGGCAGAGTTGCAAGGAGAAAGCCACTGCTCTCCAAAAAGAACATTGCTGCCCGTCTGCAGTTTGCTGGCTTGCCATCATTAATGGAACAATGAATTCTGAATTATATCTGCAAATCTAAAGGAAAATGTCAGGACATCTGTCCGAGAACTGAATCTCAAGATAAAGTGGGTCATGCAGCAAGACAACGACCCCAAGCACACAAGTCGTTCTACCAAAGAATGGTTAAAGAAGAACAAAGTTCCTGTTTTGGAATGACTGAGTCAAATTCCGGACCTTAATCCAATTGAAATGTTGAGGAAGGACTTGAAGCAAGCAGTTCATATGAGGAAATCCACCAACAACACAGAGTTGAAGCGGTTTTGTACTGAGGAATGGGCTAAAATTCCTACAAGCCGTTGTGCAGGACTGATCAGCAGTTACAAGAAACGTT